GGTGTGCTTGAAGATTACAAATTTGTAGTGGAAGCTCTTAGACTTTACCAAAGAGATTGCATCAAAGGGGAGTGATTCTTTTTGTGTCATTGTTCTCACTTATTTTTAACTCTATTTAAATGTGCATGAATTTATGTGAATTATCTGTTATATTTTTTGGGGGGAATATATATAGGTTGATTTGCATATAGTAAGGGGGAAATTATTATTTTTGCTATATGTGTTGATTCTTTCTGTATGCATTATTTTAGGAGAAGATAGCATACATTAAGGGGGGAAGTATTTTTATATTCTAGAAATGCACGATTTTAGGGGGAATGTAATTTTAAAAAAAACTGTTTAGATTTTTTCTCTCCCCGAATGTATGAATTCTCTTGTTGCATTATTTTGGATAATTCTAAAAGGGGGAAGAGTGTATGAGTATATGCTTTAAATTGTTATTTATTGATAGCATATCCTCCATAAGTTTGTCATTATCAAAAAGGATGAAATTATTGGAATGCATGAGTTCAACCATTTTTATACTGTCAGGTATTACTCACAGGCATTGATAATTGCAAACATATATTATTCAAGTCAAAAATAAAGTGCTACATTGATAAATATAAACAATTGAAGTGTCAAATTCCTTGAGGTATTCAAGAAGGAGCACAAAATTTATTGAATACTAAGACGCCTAACGGAACGCCTAACAGAAGTGAAGAGTATTGTAAGGATGAAAAAAATATTCTTCACTCCAAAATTATTTTTATGAGAGTTATATAAAAATAATACCGAGTAGTTATTTTTAGAGACACTTGAAAAATTTCTTTTAATTGTTCAAAAATGCGATTATTGAGTCAGTTACAAAAGGTGTGTTAAACATTTTTTCAAAATACTTATTTTGATATTAGAAAATATTTTTAGCAAACAAAAATGTTTTATACAAATATTTTTAGACAATTTTTGACACACAAAATATTTTTGGGACTCAATTTTTACATCCCAAATTTCATTTAATTATTCAAAATTATTTTAAATAATTGTTTGAGGTGATTGGGAGCCTCCTTCATTCTATGTTTGGTTCAACGAATTTGAGCAGGAAAAAAAAGAAAATGAGAAGAAAAACAGTTTTCTTGTTTGGTTAGAGAGAAAAAGAAGAAAAAGTGGAAGGAAATGAAAATGAGAAAACAAAAAATACTAAGGGAAAGGAAAACTAAATTCCAATTTTCTTTGCTTTTCAAATTCCTTGGACCAAACCTAGTGTAAGAGTATTATAGAGAATTCTAAATTTCTAAGTTTTTTTCTCTCTAAACGTATAAAATACGGAGTACTCCGTATGTGGACACTATTCACAAACCTTGTTAATCGTTATCTTGGTTTTTAAGAAGCTATGTATTATCTTTACTAAACCAAAAATATGGACCTCTCCTACAATAATTTAGGCATGGATCGCAATTAGATAATTTAAAAATGTGGACACAGAATCAATTTTGGGGATAAATGAGCGGAGTAGGTTGATGCGGTGGCGAGGGGCGGGAAATAGGAAACATGCACTCGTCAGCAAAGATTATTAAACCAAATGGGTGAGGACGTAAGGTGAGTCCCATATTATTATAAAAATAGAACCATAGTAATGGCTATACCTTTTCTTCAAAACTACTACTTGCCCGTTTTGAAACTTTTCATTTTAGCTTGAGTCCTGTTTGGCATCAACCTTAGAGATTGGTATTAGCGTTTTGAAAAAACTATCCGACGATTGTTTTTATCTTTAGTTTGTTCAGAATTAATCTACACTATTAAAATTTTATCCAAAATACAAACTGATAGAATTGTATAATGATTGTATTATTGAATAAGAGAGGATTACATGTGTATATATAGGGAAGCAATGGAAACTAATTACAGAGGGACCCCACTGTTCTATAATAATTATATATATATCTATTATCCCCCCGCAAGCTGAGCATCGGGCACGAGGGATAGATTGGAGCATAGGTAAGTAAAGGGCCCCAACGGTAAGGGCTTAGTGAGAATATCGACAAGGTGCTCAGATGATGGAACATGATACGGAATCATACGACCAGCCATAACCTCATCACGAACGAAGTGGCAATCAGAACCAACATACTTCATCTGATCATGGAGAACAGGATTTTTAGTAACACAGATTGTTGACTCGTTGTCGCAAAAAAGCCGAGGGCGTGAGGGAGGAATGTCGAGCGTATCAGTGATGTAACAAAGCCACATGGCTTCCGCGACTCCCGCGGCCATGGCTCTATACTCAGCCTCGGTGGACGATTGAGAGACGCTTTTTTGCTTTTTCGTGCACCAGGAGATGAGGTTGGACCCAAAGAAAATCATGTAACCAGTGGTGGAGCGCCTATCATCTTTGTCGGACGCCCAGTCTGAATCGGAATAGACAGAGATCTCCATATCCCCTTTTTTGAAGAGAATACCCTGCTGAAGAGTCCCCTTAAGATATCGTAGAATGCGTTGCAAGGCCAGGAAGTTCTAAGTGGAGGGATTGTGCATAGTTTGGGAGACACGGTTCACAGCATACTGTATGTCCGGGCGAGTGTTAGCAAGATAATGAAGTCCGCCAACCAAGCTTCGGTATAAGGTGGGATTCTCGAACGGGACCGTGGGCCCCTCGGCCGGCCGAGCGGCCATGGGGGTCGGCGCTCTCTTGCATTGGGTCATGCCTGCACGGTCGATGAGCTCTGCTGCATATTTGGCCTGATTGATGAAGATAGTAGAAGGTGTGCGCCAAACCTCGATCCCAAGAAAGTAGTGGAGCGGTCCAAGATCCTTAAGCCGAAACTCCCGGTGCATGGCCGTAGTGACGGAGGTGATGAGCTGATCGGAGCTGCCGGTAATGACAATGTCATCCACGTATACCAAGACAATAACTGTTCCACGAGAGCTGTGAAAAGTGAACAGACTCGTGTCATGAAGACAAGTCCGAAAACCAAGACCCTGCAAAAATGAAGAAAGTTTGTTATACCAGGCCCGGGGAGCCTGCTTGAGGCCGTATAGAGACTTCCGAAGGCGGTAGACATGAGTGGGATAAGAGGAGTCAACATAGCCAAAGGGTTGCTCCATGTAGATATCGTCATCAAGATCCCCGTGCAGAAAAGCATTGCTGACATCCAGCTGATGTAGAGGCCACTGGTGATTAAGAGCAAGAGAGAGGACCAAACGAATCGTCTGCTGTTTTACCACCAGACTGAAAGTCTCCTTGTAATCAATGCCGTACTTCTGGTGGAAACCTTTGGCCACTAGACGAGCCTTGTACCGTGAGATCGCGCCGTTTGCGTCCCGTTTGATGCGATACACCCATTTGCACCCGATCGGCTTTCGATTCCAGGCAAGGGTACCAACTCCCACGTGTGCTGTTCCTGCAAGGCCGCAAACTCTTCATCCATAGCCTGACACCAAACTCTATGTTGGGAGGCTTGTTTATAGGTAGAGGGCTCAATGTGAAGGGGAACGGTAGTATGATAGACCTTGGGTTTAAAAATACCGGATTTAGCACGGGTTTGCATTGGGTGAGTGTTGGGTGGAGGAGGCCGGAGGAGGATTTGTTGGGGGTCGGTTCGACAGTGGGTCGAAACCATGGGGTATTGGTGGGGTAGGCTGGGTCGTGGAGGAGGGGTGGGTTGCGGGATGATAGGGTGTGGGTCGTGGGCTGTGAGGCTGAATGGTGGGCAGGATAGGAGACGTGGGGTGTGCGGCAGTGAGGTGCTGGTGGGGTGGGGCAGTGCCGGGGGTTGGGATTGGCGACACGGGAGTTGATGCGGTGAGACGTGGCAGAAAAAGCGGAATGATACCGAGAGGATTGACAGAGTGAGGAGCGGAGGCCAACTTTGTAAAGGGAAATTGTTCCTCAACAAAACGGACATGACGAGATACATACGTTTTTTCGGTGACAGGGTCATAACATTTGTACCCTTTAATGGTAGGATAATAACCCAGAAAGACACAAGGAGTAGAGCGGGGTTGGAGTTTGCTATGGGTATGGGGCCGAAGCCACGGGTAGACGAGGCAGCCAAATGGACGGAGATGAGTGTAGGCAGGATGTTGGGAGTGGAGCTTTTCGTATGGGGAAGGGGAGCTTTGGGTGGGTATTCGGTTAATGAGGTAGTTAGCGGTAGCAAGTGCCTCAACCCAAAAGGTGATGGGAAGAGAGGAATCATAGAGTAGGGCCACCACCGTTTCAATGAGGTGGCGGTGCTTACGTTCCGCCACCCCGTTTTGTTCCGGGGTGTAGGGACAGGAAGTATGGTGGATGGTTCCTAAAGTTTGAAGAAACTGACCAAAAGCATTGTTCAAGTATTCTTTCCCATTATCACTTTGAAAAATTTGAATTTTGGAATTAAATTGAGAAGAAACCATATTGGTAAAGCTAACAAAGACAGCATAGGCCTCAGATTTACGCCGAAGAGGGTAAATCCAAGAGAATCTACTGTAATCATCAATAAAGGAAATGTAATAACGATAGCCATTAAAGAAGGGAACAAAGGTAGGACCCCAAACATCACAATGAATTAAATTAAAAGGCGCAGTGTCCATGTGTTCAGACAACGAAAAAGGTAAACGACTCGATTTTGCAACAGAACAGGACTCACAGTGAACAGAGTTTGAAAAATTAAAACCTAAGGAAGATAAAATATTTTTGGCAACAACAGGAGATGGATGACCGAGCCAGCGGTGCCACGTGGACAGATGGATGGCTTGACAGATGGACTGACTCGATGGAGGCAGGGACGATGGCAAGGAGTAGAGACCACGCTCACAACGGCCCGTGTACCGCACCTGTTTCGTAAAAGTGTCCACTATCTGAAATTTGTCAGGTGTAAAAATAAGGTTACACTTATTGTCTTTGGTAAAAAGATGAACCGAAAGTAGATTGGAAGTAAGGGATTGAACATGATTGAGGTGTTTGAGTTGGAAATTACCGGATGGGGTATAAACTTGGCCTAAGCCGTTGTGGGAGATAGGGAGAGAGTGGCCATTACCTACCAAAATAGAGTTGTTGCCAGTATAGGGAGTGGGAGCGTGTAACCTGGAGAAATCAGGGGTGACGTGAGTGTTGGCACCCGTGTCAAGGTACCAAATACCGTTTTGGGTGCTTGTGGCCGCTGCATCGCACGAGACCCGCCGGACGAAGAACTATCAGCAGTAGACTCATCATAGCGATACCAGCACGAGGCGGCGGAATGGCCCCGTTTATCACAAATCTGGGAGACAGGGAGTTCACGACCCTGAGACCCACGTCCGCCACCGCCACGGTACGGGCCTCCACGAGAGGACCTGCCGCCCCCGCGCCCATGATGTGGCTGAGAATACCGCTGCACCGAGCCGCTACCACGCCCGGATTGCTGTGTACGGCTGCGACTACCACTGCGGCGCTTGTCCTGCTGGCCTCGGCCTCCGCCGGCTGTGTAGAGAGCCGTGTGGGTACCCCCGGTGCTAGACTCGGCCATGGTGAGCTTTTGTTCGAATTCCAGATTTAGTTCCTCCGCGCCGAGCCAACCAGAGATCTGAGCAAGAGTGAGGGAGGCCTCGTTCATGCGAACGTGTTGTTTGAAGGATGAATAATCAGCCGGGAGGCCACGTACAACAGCGTTGATGACGTCCCATTCAGGGATGATTTCATTAATGGCATCAAGATCAGAAAGAATGGACGCCATTTCATCCAAATATTGGGTCATCGTTTTAGAACCCTTCTGAAGGGTATGCACACGATCTCGAAGTTGAAAGATATGAGCCTCGGACAGGGAGTTGTACCTCGCGGCTAGGGCAGCCCAGAGAGAGACGGAACTGGTGAAACCTCGGGCATGCTTATGAACAGACGGGATGAGAATAGCAAGAAGACAAGCCCGGATCTGTGTATCAATCAAGGTCCAGAGGGCAAAGTCTGGATTATCAATTTGACCGCCATCTTTTTGGAGTTTTTCCGGAGGGGCTTTGTCGTCTCCGTTCACCCAGTTGAAAAGAAGGTGAGCGGACAGAGCGGTAGTAACGTTCAGGGCCCAAGCAGGATAATTGGTATCCGTAAGTTTATCAGGAACCAAAGTATGGAGATTCCGCATAAATAATTTGATGTCGGTAGGGAGCTTCGATAAGGGATCCGTGCCGAACATGGTAAGGGAGATCGGCACTGAGAACTAGACAGAGAGGATGGGGAAGTATTGGTTTGAGGTTTCTTGATGGCCTCTGCCAAACGATCATGGGCAAAAGAAGGCTGGCATGCTGTACGCACGCCGGCGGAAGAAAAATTAGGGTGGGAGAAAAAAATTTAGGTTTTCTTTTTTGGAAGAAAAGCCTTGGCTCTTGATACCATGATAGAATTGTATAATGATTGTATTATTGAATAAGAGAAGATTACATGTGTATATATAGGGAAGCAATGGAAACTAATTACAGAAGGACCCCACTATTCTATAATAATTATATATATATCTATTACAAACATTAATCGAAAATGATGTTCCCAAACAACGCCTTGGCATGCGCTAGTCTCATCTTTTCGCGCTCTTTCAAAAATAATCTTATTTTTCACTGTTAGCGGAAATAATCCTATTTTTTCGCATTTGTGCGAGTTTTGGGTCACCGCTATAAAGCTAACGGTCACTTAACGGAATTTTTAGAAAATGTCTATTTTTTGTAAATAAATAAAAGGTGAGATTATTTTAGGTAAATTCTCTTTTTATCGTTTTTAAATTTCTAACTTTAAATTTAAAAGTAATTTTAAAAATGTTTTTATAAATAATACGAGTACCAAATTTTAGTGTTTTTTAGATTGAAACTAATTATTTTTTCAATAATCGATAATCCGGTAATAATTGAACAATAAACTATTCTACATAATGGAGTTAACTTATTTACTTCATAACTCACTACATTTGTTTGTAAGTTCCAATTTTTTTTCTTGAGCGGCACTTCAAATTGTTTTTTGATGCTATACTATTATTATTTTTTAAAAAATGGCACTACAAAACTTGTGAATATTTTTCGATAATTCTATATAAATGTTTTTTGCAAAACAACATTACAATAGCAATAAGTTTTCATCTAAATTATAACTTTTATTTTTATAACTCACAACATATTTTTGTTGTATTACATTTTTTTCATGAACAACAATCTAAAATATTTATTGATAATCTTCTATTACCCATTTACTTTTTCTAAAATGGAACTATCTAACTTGTGATTTTTTTTGATAATTCAGTATAAATTTTTTCCCAAAATAATAATTCAAAAGTTATGAAAATGGCACAATATTTTTTTCTCTAAAATGGCACTAATTTAGTTTATAACTCACTACAATTTTTTGTGTTGCAATTTCTTTCTCAAGCGGTACTCTTAATTATTTTTTGATAATCCAAAATTATATTTCCCTAAAACAGAAAACAAAATTTTTAAATCATTATATTTTTTTAAAAAAAGTGAGACAAATCTCTAACAAAAGTGTACTGTTATACTTTAAAAATATTAATTTTAAATTTAAAATTAAAAAAAGGAAAAAAAAGTAAATTTGCATAAAATAATCTCATCTTTCATTTATTTGTAAAAAACAAGCATTTCCTAAAAATTCCATTAAGTTGTCGTTAATTTTTTAACGGCAATCCAAAAATCACATACATGCAGAAGGTGAAATTTTTTTAACGGCAATCCAAAAATCGCGGCAATCTATTAAAATCGCGGCAATTTATTTTTTAAAAAACGTGAAAAGGTGAAATTATTTATGATAATTTTTCCTTACAACTTTTACAATAGATGTATATTCATATATGAAAGTCACCATAATATCCCTATATGACAATGGCCTTGTTTGGATGTTGGCTGACAGCTGATCGCTGTTGGCAGTTCGTGCCAGCTGTTATGAATGACTGTTTAGTTTAGCTGGTTTGACCGGCAAGATGAGTTGGCTAATCGTTGAAAATGTTTGGTAAAATTAGCTGTTTGAAAATTGTTCCAATACACACACACACACGATATTTGTTTTTCATTTTTTTACATGTAAAAACTAAATCTTTACTATATGGAGTATTAAATTTTACTTTAATTTAATGCATAATAAATTATTAATAAACTTTTTAATGATTTTTACTTTTTATTTTCTCATCTAATTTTTTTTGAAATTTTGAAATTTTTATTTTTTTTGTTTTGAATTTTTTTAACTTTTATTTTTATTTTTTACAAATATTATAGAATATCTTTCAAGAAAAATGATTTTAAAAAAATTAATTTTCCTAACAACCAAGTGCCAAGTCCAAATGCTACTCTCTTTGGCTTTTCAGATTTTGTTTTTTGGATCAAAATGCCAAGTGAAAAAGCCATTAGCCAAGTAATGATTTTAGTTATTCGTTTTGTCAAAAAAACTAAAATTAATCAAAAATGTCAAAAACTATCTGAAAAGCTATTTTCAAAACACGGCCAACGTCTTTGGCAATAGTGGGTATACTTTATCCGCCATTTGTTCTTTTTTATTTAATTTTGTTATTTAGAAAAAGGTTCAAATCAATACATTAAGATTTGGGGAAATGCTTGATTCACAAACAAAATGGTCACAAATCTCACAAATTTACTATTTGTGAACTTCAATAAAAAAAGTAAAGTAGTTTAAAATAATTTTAAAATCAGAATTTAAACCATAATTGGTAAGTTTGTGAGCTTTCTGATCATTTTGTTTGTGAACCTAGCATTGCTATAAGATTTGATTGATTATATAAGATAGCTCTCGGACTTTTTTATGCGCCAATTAATACTTTGAGAAATCGCTGGAGTTTACATTGGGACTAATATTAATCTAATTAAATCATTTTTATTTTTTGTGCTAATATCAAATATACTTTTTTTTTTAAATATTCTTTCTGTCACAAAATGACTTACATGAAATCAAAACGAGGCAAAATCCAAGTTTTAAAAATTTATTTTATTTAAAATTTGTATAAAAATTAAAAATACATATTCAAAAATTACCAGCTTAAAAATTCTATAGCAAAAGATATACTGTAATAAAATAATTAATTTTGTTAAAAAACTAATGAAAAAACATAAACAAAATAAAGTTTTTGTGAATTAAAAATAATGAAGAGATAGTTTAATTCGATATTTCGCATTCAGTTACTCCGAATGGTATTTTCAGTTCAAACCCAAAGCTATAATCTTACCCACATTCGATTTGATCTGCTGGTATGTATGGGATGGGGATGATAGGAAGATCGATCGTACGGTTCACAATCATATCATTGACTAATTTAAGAAGTGGATAAGCTCTTTATGTCGTAGGATGCCGCCCATCCAACCATATCCTCTTCCCTCGTCACCAATATTATGCGCCGCGCGCGGACATATACTCCATATGATTATCTGTGGGGTTTCAATTACTTCCCCTCTCAAATTAAATTAAAGGAAAATGTCAGGGTCACCAAAAGCGTACCACAAATATCTACCATTCCCTCCATCACCACAAAAAAGAGCAAGAAAAATTCAAAAAAAATAAAAAATAAAAATAAAATAAAATGAGTGGTAAAAAGGGGGGTGGTGTACATTTGGGGTACACCTTTAGTGTACCCCTAGCATATCCCTAAATTAAATTGTCTCTTTCAATTAACCATATTTGATTTAAGTTATTTTTATTTTAATTTGTTTGAGAATTAAAATGGTGTCAAAAAATAAAGGTGACATACTTATATTATTGAAGTAAGACGACTATATTATTTCATTAAATAAGTAACAAAAATATGTTAGGAAAATGAATTAAGTTTGACATTATAAATAGTAAATAAACTAACTCAAATTGAGAGAAAATGTAATGTATAACTAGACCTGCCAAACGGGTCAATCGGTTTGGTTCTGGTTTGAATCTTTTCGATTCAGATCTCTTTCGAATATATATGCTATAATCGATTAGGGTCGGTTCAATTCGGGTCAGTTCGGTTTCGGGCTAAATTCGATTTGATTTCAGTTCGGGTTTATACCAGTTTCAGATGAGTTCCCTTGGTATTAGAGTTCCTAATGTTAGCCTTGTGTGTAGCCTCTCATCCCTATGTGTAAAGGGATAATATACAAGTGTCAAGAATAATGAGCTAGTATATCAATTAATGTATGTTACCATATCACTATAAATTACGGAGTATATAAACTTTCTATAAAATTACACAACAACTTAAATTTAAGTGATAAAATACGGAGTAAAAGTTTTGTACATTAAATTAGTTGTACCTATAACTCAAAACTGTTTTTCTTAGATAGAAAGACATCAACCAATTAGCTATTAGATTTGTGTAGATTTGAGTTTAATTTGTTTTGAACTTGAGAAATATCGGGTTTAATCAGTTTTGGGTCTAATCAGTTTCGATTGTAATCGGTTTCAGGTCTAATCGGTCCCGGGTTTAATCGATTCGAGTCTAACTGGTTCGGGCTCAACCGAATTTGAATCTAAATCGGGTTTGAATACATTCGATTCGATTTGAATCATTTTAGGTATTCAGATTTAATTCGGTTCTTCAGCCTTCAGGTCATTTCAGATTCGATTCTGGGTTACTCGGTTTCAGTTATCGGGTCCGAATCAGTTTTGCTAAGTCTACATATAACCTCAAAGTCATTACATAATATCCCAAGGTAAATAGGTTTAGTGTCTTGTGGAGTTAAAAGAAAAGGCTTCAATACCTCTCTCCTCCCTCAAAAATTTACTTGCACAATTGTTATGGTTTTAAAAGGTTATATGACTCTTTTCATCCGTGGATTTTTGGCTTTAGTATTTCACGCTGCGGAGTGCGGGTGAAGTTTTGATAGTGGCGTACATTGGTGAATGCTGACCATGATCTAAAGTTCTAAACCACAAGGGCACTACTCACTAGAACCCATTTTTTGTTCATTTTTTATTTTTCATTTAACTTTTTTTCACTTTTTTCTTTTCTTTGTATTCTTTTTCATAAATTTTTTGAATACTACTGTGTCCAAATTTAATCTTCTTATTTGATTTTTTATGATCTTGAATGACACACATTGACCATTAATATTAGTATTTATAATTTATACATAAATATATTTTAATATTTTAAGTTTACGTTTCAAAAGAAGATTATTGATATTACATTTATATCAAAACACAATGTAATTTTCTACATTTCAAGGTCAAAGTTTATAAATTTTGACAAAGAAAAGTCAAATGAGAAAATTATATTCAGGCAGAGGGAGTATTTTTTTATCATGTCCTCTTTCCCGAATTAATCATCTTATGTTCTTTTTTGGGGCGCCCCTAAAAAAGCTTCATGTTTGCTTTTTGGAAACCTTTTTGTGGCTCGGAATGTTTCTCTCTCA